GTGGCGCGGCGGGGTCGAAAAGCCTTGGCTGGCGGTTACAGCATATTACGCACCCTCCACATTTAATACTTGCACCTTATGTGCCCAAACGCTCGCATCCCCTGTTTCCTGCTGTACTTGCATCATACCGACTCTCTGCTTTGCAGAGGTGACTTGTGGAAGATTGGGGTTTTTTTGGTTTATAAAAAATCTGCCAGATAAATAAATAAAATGCAAAAATGTTAGTGCAAAAGCCAGCCACTTGGTGGCACTGCAAAAATGTAGACAGCGTGTTTAAAAAAAAAAAAGGCTATAGCCAAACAGGAAACTGCTAAGCAGTAGGCATAATGGCCAAGGAAGGAGGAGGAGAGGGCAACCCTCCCCTGCAAGCAGTGTGAAAATGCAGGAGCTCGGTACAGCATTGCAGTGTGCTTCGTAACGCCCGCTTTCAAATCAGGGGAAAGCTCTACGAGGCTTTGAAGAGCAGCGAGCTATTAATTTCTAAATTGTCAGTGCATTTTCATATGCACATGATCGCAGAGGATGAAGAAAGCAAACAACCAAAAAAGGGTATTAAAGACCATTCAGTCAGGGCGCGGAACGGTTTCTCACTGCGGGGAACATCGTTGCGTCATGTAAGGTTGGCTCCGTGCATCAGAAAATTGAGCAGTCGAAGAAACGTCACCCTCCATCTCCCTGCGTCGGCAGATGGCAAAGGTTTGGAAACCTGGAGAATCCCAACGCATGCTCAAATCATTAACGTCTTATAAGACAATAAAAGATTAGCGTGGACCTGTTTATTGGCAGCCGTTGCGCCGCATTCCCCAATGGTACCCAAAAAAGTCCAGTTAAACAGCAGAGCTACGGTAGTTGGTATTTGTAGGGAATCCGACCAGTCTGCCCACTTAGTCCAAGGCGATGAAGGTTCGGTGGGTTTGCTGCTTTTTGTTACTCTCCCTTTTTTTCCCTGAATCAGTGGAATTGGAGGGCTTTCAACAGTTCTACCTTAGGATATCAGGATACGGTCCAATTAATTTGGGTCATGCTAAAACCAACAGTTTCAGAAAAAAACGAGTTTGGAAGTGTCTTCCTTCCAACCAAAAATCCTTTTTTCTCCCTTATTCTGTGCCCGAATCTGAGGAATCCCTGTCCATTGAAACAACCCTTGTTTGCTCCTCAGGGTGCATAGCCTGAAACCTTCGCTGTGCTGATTTCCACTCGTGTGGCTGTTGATCCTGAATTTAGGGAGCGTGACGGCAGTAATGCCTAGGCTTTAATCTAACTGGCTCAAATAACAACATCAGTGATAACACAGCAGGACTTCAGACTTCAACGCCGGCAAGTAACCCGAGTGCCTGGCTGGGGTCTCGACCAGCCGAGGCTCTGCCACGCATCTTCGCTAGTATTGTTACCGGAGCTAGCTAGGTTAAAGCCAGAATGGGTTTACTTAACATCCTGCGATTACACCTTCCAGTAACACTATCTAGGTCACCGCAAGGGTTTTTTTGTATTTGAGCAATGCCCTGATTGTAAAGAATTCCAATGTCACTTTAAAATAAACCACAGCAGTAATATTTTTTTCAGCCCAATTTATGACTGCTACTGATTTTATTGTTAAGAGGAATAAACACGTTACTGTTTAATATAGATAAACAGGCAACGTGAATGTATAAAGTCATTATCCCTTACAGATATTATACATGCCTGAAAGATTAAATGTGTCATTTTCATCCACTCCTGATGATAATATGATATTATGCCTTTATCTTAGCCACTGGAGCTTTGAGAACCCATTTGGATTCAACTGTTTCTTGACAATATAACTGTCATTACCAGATACATTTTGTACCAAGACTATGTGGAAATCTGCTCACTTGCTCTTCCTACTCTTCCTTGAATTCATTCACATGGGATATTGTTCATTTTAAGGGTAATTCTCCCTATCCCTGCATAAATGCACCCTACTGGAGGGCAATACAGAGTGTGTAGGGGAATCCATCCCCAAACTGTGCTCTGAAATAATTAGCATTTCTGAATATATTTTTGGTGACCTTTCGGGCAAACGGAATTGTAAAGCTGTAGCCCACAGAGTCACATGCTTGCCACTTTCTGAGCGTTCGAGAAAAGCCGCTGTCAGCAGATGAGCGCGTGTGCAGCACTGCACCACTACCCTGATCTCCTGGCCTCAGCTGCGGGCTGCATCCAGGCAGGTAGCAGATAACGTCTGGACTCTCACCACGATAAAGAGAGCATGGCGAGAACCTTCCCTTTCTGGCGTGTTTGCTCTAACATCCGGCTTAGTACATACAAGGAACTGCATCAAATGCAATCTCTGCAGCTCACAGCGTTAAGAAGAAAATGGAAACCTGGCTCTGTTCTTTCAACAAGCCCTAGTAGCCTCGGAAACGCACCTGTGTACGCCTGGGATCCCGAGCTGACAGAAACACCGACGTTCTGGCTCTGCAGGGCAAGCTTAGTAATATCCCTTTTTTAGATGCTTCCTGCGACCAGGTCTCTGTGCACCGTGTGGGATTTTTCACTTGCCCTTGTGAGGTGTCTAACACCCTCCAGGCTTTAAATGGAGAAGCAAGGTGCCCAAGTCCAGGTATTACATTCCACTCTGGCAGCCTGATACCGAACAGCTAGATGTTAGAGCATCACATTTGTAAGCACCCAGCTTTAACGGGATCTAGTCTAAAATGCATAATAGCAACCTTGTGATACGACCAGTGGTTGGAAACAAAGCCTGGAGAGTTTTTATCTCAGTATACCTTTACATCCTCTGTTATTTACTGTGTGGAAACAGGAATTTACATTGAAAGCTCCCTAGTGTAACAGATTTAAAATCCCTATCCACTTTAGTACGATAGGTAAAACATCCTGCAGCGGTTTTCATGGTTCCCAGACTAGGTCACAGTCTTAAGGAAATCACATCTGTTTCCAACAGGCTCAAACCTTCATGGTTCTCCGCCATGGGGAGGAGGGGAGCAGGAATTAATCCCAGAACAAATGCTGGATTCAACCATAAACCATTTTTGAGTTGAGACCAACTTAATGCTTTTTTTCCAGGGATTGTTTGGAGTGGATACTCTAAGTAAGTTATATTTTTATCCCCTTTAGCAACAGCAGGTGAAGAGGCTGCTTAGTAGAGTGGTATTAGGTGATAGTTCATCAGTGTCAAATAGGCTGGTAACTGAGTTAGGCCAGGACCTTTGAGTTCCCATTTGAAAAGAGCATCCTTTCCCCTAGCATAGACAGGACTTTCAGTAATTTTTAATTTGTATTTTGGGTTAAAACATTGCATACCTCTTCTCAGCGTGTGTCTCTTGTGTCTCCATCCCCCAGAAGCATCCTTCCGGTATGGAGGCTGGATGCCATCGCTGGAGTTAAGTATTTCACAGCTAAAACAAATACAAAGGAGATAAGGAACAGCCTGGTTGAGAGCGTACAACAATGGAAAGCTTTGAGGAATATGATCGGTAATGAAGATGGAAACCATAAAAGAGCTATAGTGACTTGGTTAATCCTATGTACTCTGACGGAGTTAAACTTCTCCAGGTTGCTGATAAGATAGGACTGTTTATCTATTGTTTTTTCAATGTTCAAGGCTACTGAAATGCAGAAGTGCCAGATGGCTGTGTAAGCTAAACAATGTACAAAATCTTTCTTGTATTATCACTGCATGTCCTGGTGGGGAGGGGAGGGAAAGGTTATTTTATCATTAGAAGTCACTTAGCAGCAAATGACATTCAGCTGTCTTTATCAACTTAAAACAAAAGATTGGGCCTGTATAGTTGTGGGGCCTGTTTCTAACGTGGCAGGGCACATATTTCATTCGCCTTTAAGTCAGCTGGTGATGTCTTGTCCTTGTGTTTAACAGTCCCTGAACTGTGATGCCCTATTAGTGGAAAAAAAATAATTAGTTTCCACATGTACAAAAAATTCACTGCAATCCTACACCACTGTGTCCGTATCATTTTTCCCCTTGAACACAAGAACCTCCTGGGTCATCGATAGCAAAATCCCTTTGTTCCTTTGGGTTTCTGTTACTGTCCAGAGGAAAAACCACCGGAGAGAGGAGGAACCCTAGGTTCTGCTTTCGGTGTCATCACTGATCCGATATTTGACCTTCAGCAAGTCATTTCACCTCTATTTTCCCTCCTGCCCTCTCTCTGTCTTTGCATATAGCGGCCGCAGTCAAGAAAGACTCTCTGGACTCTGGGAAATTCATCTCAGCCACCTGAGACGCCACGTTAACGCGATGCCGGGCCTCGGCTAATTAGCCCTGGACTAAATACCGGTGGCGCGGTGCGGCGCTGACACAGTTATACCGCTTTTTTAGCCTCAGCATGGTCTGGTGATCGTCTCAGGGTCTCCCCTTACGCAGAATAAGCGTCCTCCTCACCGCTGCCCCCTGCCCATCGCAGCAACCAGGCGCCTCGGTCTGCTGCAGAGCCCTACGGCTGCTCTCCCCGGGGGTCGGCGGCGGTCCCCCCGCGGGGCCCTGCTTCCCTCCGAGCACAAAGCTGCTGCAACCTCCTTTTGGGGTGGGGGAAGGCCCCACGTGACGGAAAAGTTGACTCTTAGGGTCAAGCTACCAACGCTTTACGCCCAGTTTCCCCGTGCCTTTCCTCCACGGCTCGCTC